TACACTGTGCTAAGTGAATCCAAATGATATGTCTACCTTGTGTATTGATCATACAGGTATAATGATAGTTTTGTTTAGCCACCGATTAGCTCATCAATTTTAATAACATGGATAATGGAAACATCAATTGTTTATTACATCCTTCAATTTGATTTGCAATAATAGTTCATTTGGAAGATATGAATATATTTTCCCAGAGTCAAGAAAATAGTTTCTAATTTTAGACATATAATTATTTGTCATTTGATTTTTAATTGATATGTAAATTCAGAGGACTGCAACATTTCTAATTAAAAAATTAATCTTATTGTTAATTATACATATAGCCACTACTTACTTAATACTTAGGAAACATTAAGAACGATCATTTTTAATTTAAATTTAATATCAAGTATAATTTTCTAGTAAAATCAATTATACAAATTATACTATAGGTGTAATGTTAAATAAATTTTTAGTATAAAATTTTACTCTGATTAAATTCTAAATATATGATCTTTATTTAATAAATTTCATTTTTTATTATTTAATATTTTATTAATTTTATTATATATTTAATTTTATATTGTATATTAAATAAGTTTGTTTGTTACATAAATTAATACAAAATATACTATAAAATATCTTAATTATACTTTAATAAAATTATCAGATCGGAATAAATTTCAATAAACTGTATATTGCATATATAAGTTAAGTTTAAAATAGCAATTTCTACAATTTATTTTGTCTAATGTAATCATTGTAGATTTTTCCACGAATAATTACTGCTTCTTTTTATTTGATTGGTCTTCTTATATTTTTGTTCTTTAAAAAATAATTAAACTACGCAGAAGTTATATACATCAGCATTGCTGAATTGATAATTAACAGAAAAAAATTGTGAGCGGAAAGATTTACGGTTGGTCAATAGAATAACAAAAAATTCCATGCTTACAACAAAACTTCAATTTTTATATAAATAATTCTTGACATAATAATAATAATTTATTCTATTACACAATTTTTATTACATAATTTTTATTATTATATTAATACCAAAGATACTATCCCTATTATGATTATAGAATTAGCAACTATGCATGTTCGCAAATGCCTACAAGTTTTAAAAACATTAAAGTATAATTTATTGTAAATAGTAATATGTTTAAAGTACCGTGTAGATACAAGTCATAAATAAAGTAAATAACGCCAATGACGATGCATTTATGTCGATGCTGATATAATTGATGGAGTGTTTGATTTCAAACTACCATCATGCCAAGAGGGCAGCTCTGTTAATAGATTATCGTCGCTTAATTGGAAAGAGTCTGAACCGAATATCAGCTATAAGAATTACATGACAAAATCATGTAATTTTAAAAAAATCGTCATTTATTCTACTGAGTAGAAGTAATGGCTTTTTAAGGATGTAAACAATATTTCATACAAGTGAATTTATTTTCAAAACATAATACCGAGAATACCGTCTAATACGCGATTAAAACATTTACTTTTACAATTACATTATTAATTAATACCTAATTATATCTATATTTTATTTTAAATGAAATGAGTCGTTTGTTAATACCAAAACTTTTCCAGATTATTTTTAATGTTCAAGCTTATCAAATAATAATATAATTGATATTTGGATTATACTTCAACGCCTCTAAAACCGCCGTTCCAATTTCTGTACTATTATATTGCAAATTAAAAACAAAACCACAAATAATAATTATTTATACATTTATTTTAATCGGGCGTATGAAAATTAAGTGAAATGATATAGAAATATCAAATATATTTCCTGTTAATAGATATTACCATATTGAAATAAAATTAAATATATTAAACAATAATTTTTAACAAACTTAGTCCAAAAAGAACATTACTTATTTTGAAATTATTTAATTACTTTAAAATGTTTTAATTATTGTTAAAATGCAATTTTTTATTCAAAGCATAGATATACAATTTAAACGTATTTTAATGATTTCAATATAGTATTAGAATAAGAATAAGAATATGAAATAATAATAATACCATATTATTAGATACTATACCATTAGTAGAATAATATACCAAAGAATTTAGTATTAATATTTCAAAAAATAAAGAATTTATATTTATTTTCTATTTCCTTTACATATTACATAAGTACATCAATATATTGTATTGGTATTATTAAACCACTGTTTTTTAATAATAAACAATAATGGTATTTTGTATTTTAAATTTTTAAACTTCTGAATTACCAAAATATTTGATAATATTAAAAATTTTGAAATCACTTAGATTCTTTCTCTTTAATTGCATAGACATACTCTGAATTCAAAATACCACTTTAATAAAATGATTCTAAATATGTATAAAGTATTTTCAAAACATATTTAAAAGGAATTTGATTACTTTATAATTACAAATTAAATTATAATTACAAATTTAAAAAAAAAAAGTCTGAAATTATCCTGCTGTTATTAAATAATTATCTATTCATTTACAATTAAATCAGAATAGTTATTATATATTTTGCACAAAATTTTATGAAATCTAGATTTATTGAGATTTTATCTACCCTTGAATTTATATAATTCATATGTGCAATATAGTGGTATATTATCTGAAACATATTTAAAATACACAATTAATGTCCAAATTAATTTTAATACAACACGATGGAATTTAATATAATAAACATATTATTTTATCTAATGAATAAATGATAAATATTCTGTTTAAACTATTGTAGTAGAATTTAAATAATCGTAGTCTTAATAATAATGTAAATAGATAACACAAGTCATTAGATAAATAATATAACATTAATTATATTACGTTATATTATACCATACTTGTTTATCACATTATAATAATAGATGCTGTACCTTGAAAAAGTAATTAAATAGATTTTTAATTTTTTCTATAATTCTATTATAAAGATAATGCAAACGTTGATATTAATATTTATCATTGTTATTTTGCAAAAAGCAAAATATGAGTAACAAAAGTTGAGCGAATAGTTGAATATAAGTAATAATGTTACTTTGAAAATAATGATAGTCTCGTGTATTAAAAAAATACGTTGTATATTAAGTAAATTTGAAATATAGGAAAGAGATGAAATATTTTATCTGTCTTTTAAGATGAAAAAAGAGCGATACCAGAGCATGTGTTTTTAAAAATTCTCTGATTATAGATATGACTTTTTCAATGATACATTATTTGTATAAATATATAAAATTATCTTTACTCTTCAGATTGTATATTATATAGATTGAATTGTATATATATATATATATATATATATATATATATATATATATGTGTACATACATATATTATTACGTGTAAATTGTTATTAAAACGTTTTAAACTAATCAAAATCATTTACACTAATTTTTTTAAAAAATTTCAAACCAGTAAGACCTTGTATCGAATACAAATTACTATTATATGAACTTAATGTTGTATATTATATAGTTATATACATACAACAAAAAGTAAGAAAGAAATTGTAGAAAACACAATAAGAAATAAATTATAGCAATTAAAGTCAATAATCTTGAATTACCCAAACATAAGATATATATACGCGCTTATTTAAATGAATACAGTTAATTTATTTATCTGAACATAATTAACATGTTAAGAGGTTATAGTACGAAAAATATTCTAAATACAATGAAAAATTATTCTCAAACGTAATTCCTAAGAACAAATTTGTAATAACGATCTTATTTTGGTTTATAATCGAAATTTTTTATCGCAGTATTAAAAATTGAATATGAAAATACGTATGTGTAAGCAAATTTCGTTAGACAAAAGGTTAAAAAAAATGAGAAATGTAAAACTTATCATACTATGTACTCAAAATATTTTCTATAAATATTAAAAGATAAAAGAATTTTTTTAATATTGAAAAATATTTTATCTGTTATTTTGTTTCATTTCCTAATACTACTGATTCATTGGATATAAATATACTCTGCTGAGAAAAAAATGTTAATAGAAGAAAGATTAATAAACTAATGAAAAAACTTATAAGGAAAAAGAACAAATATTAATAAAATAAAATGTATTAGAAACTAATTAACTGAATTATTTTTAAATTATTACATATTAATTTCAATAGAAGAATAATAAAGCATTAAACCAAATTGAAAGAATTTTTGTCACTCTAGTGAGCATGTGCAATACTATGAAAGTATCTACGACATACGCATAAAAAAATTACATAATAATTTCAGTATCAAACATTGAAATATTTAATTGATAACAGAAAAATCAAATTAATTATCTTTATAGAAAAAATAATTTTTTTCAATCAGTTTTGTGATGAACAGATAAATGATAATTACCAATTATGCTAAAATTATTTTGGAAGATTATTTGTAAATTATATTGAAGCCTGTAAAATAATTAGGATAAGTAACTAATTATATTACATTTATATATTTCTTCTTACATATGATAAGTTAATACACATGGTTTTCTTAAATTCTTAATAATTATTTATGATTTCGTAATAAATGATTTAGGAAAATTTGTTATTGTGACTTTAAATTTATTAATTGTATGCATAAATCTTATAATATTTATTTTTTAAAATTTCATCTCAAATATTCTAATGAATTATTTAAATACATACATTATTCAAATTCAGATTAAATATTATAGAAACTTAAATTAAAATATATACACATAAAAATATATTGCTTCTATATGTCCAGCTGAATAAATACTTCTATAATATAATATTTAATATTATAAACATTCTTATTTTATTATACAAAATATCTAATGATTACTTAAATAAAAATCAATGAAATAGCCTCAACAACTTTTTTTCTTACCATCTCTCGGTAAATTTGAAATCCGACTTAGGGATTGCATGAGTCAGTTCATATTCTGCTACCTGTTTACTTGTGTCTTATGCGCGCGCAGCCACATATTTATCGATGAACATGTGCCTGCGACTGCCGCGACATGAGTCACAAAGATAAAGATAAACGATAATTAAAGCGAGAGGAAGAGAGACCAAGAACGAAATATCGTGAGGTATTTTCAGTTGTGTGAGGAAAGTGTGGGATCGTTTGTGCCATGGAATTGTACAGAATGTAGAAACGCATATTGAGCCGCTAACTTACTTCATTTGGATAAGTAAATAATAATAATTATACTTTTTCATACAAGAAAAGTCAATTAAAACGTTGACGAGTTAATTGTGGTTTTATTAAAATAGTTAATAAGTCTATGTAATTGTTATTTATCACAATTTTTACATTTTGTTCATTTAAACTTTATTATTATTAAATGCTGTTTAAATTATTATTCTACTTAGACGTCACTGTTCTCTTAATAATAAATAATTAATCAAATTAAATATTTGTAAACATACATCAATTATAAGAATTAGCAAGTACTTGAAATAGAATTATTGTTGAGTTTTGATCTATAATAACATAATTTAATACTCGTTATTTAATACATTAAATGTTAATGTATTGAACACATTACACTTAAATAATCGAAGAAGATTGTTCACACATTTAAGACGAATCTTGATTTAATTTATTAAAGTTGCTCCATTGCGTAATACATAGTCACTTAATGCATTAATGTTTATAATTGATGTTTAAAATTTATCGATTTTCATTTATTTTAAAAATAATAAATATTTCATTTTAAAAAGTGTAGTTTTCTCTCAAGTAATTACCGTTCAAATTTATAACTGAAAAATAATGTATTTCTTCAAAATTGGAATTTATTAAACATTGTTAGTTTTGAAGAAAAATAATATAAAACATAAGATCTGATGTTAATATTTTTGGCATTATAAAAAATAATTAAATAAATGCATAAAAATAAGAAAAAAATAATAAAAAAAGAATAAGAAAAGGCATCGTTTACCAAGCACACTTCGAATTTTAATTTTGTAAACACAATTTAATGCAAATAATATTTCATACATTTCATATTACATAACAATATTCAATTAAGTAGTAACATTTTCAAATAAATACGTTAAACTCCTGTTTCCTTGAAAAAAAGAATAATAATAATAAGAATAATAATAATAATAATAAAATTTAAAAAAAAAACTAGATTCCATAATATATAGCGTAAAATACACCCCGTATTATACGTAAAACAGTTAGAGAGGGGCACGGGACACAAGATCGAACAAATGCCAGACAAAGAAGGATGAAAATTATGAAAGAGTGAGAATGATAGAAAATGTACTAGAACAGCTTGCATATTCAGTGGCATTTAACTCAGTCTAACGACGACAGCTGTTCTGTATTTACATTGCGCATCGTACATCAATCACTACTTTAATATAAACTGATTTCCTTGTCAGAATTCTCTTTTTCGAGGTGGTCGAGTGCCTACCGCATTTAAGGTTATTGTTCGTTATTCCGCAGTTGAGGTGAAGGTGAGACTGATGCTGATTGGCTGAATAAACCAGGAATGGGAGTGTTGTAAAACTTATTTTGTTTTTCTTGTTAAACAGTTTTAGAATTTATAAATGAATTTCGCCCTTATTCCGATGAATTATAATTTGCCACAGTCAAAAATTTTTTAAATTTAATGTTAAAATAGGATAATTGTGTCATGGTAGCTATATAATTTCCAAATTTTAATTCATTAAACGATGAATGATATGTGAAAATTAATTAATATTTTAGAGAAAGATAAGATTTTTTATTTTTACGTGAAAAGAAGGTGCACATAAATAATAAGCTGAATTGATAACATTTAAATTATATTAATATAGATCCACTTGAAAATTTACAAATATATACTGTACTTTGTTTTTTTTTTTTTTTTTTTTTTTTTTTTTTTTTTTTTTTTTTTTGTTTCAATCGTATAAGATATTTTTAGATTTCTTGTTTCCATACATATATGAATACAGTTTATAAATATGTATTGTCTAAAAATATTAGTGTTATATGGCTGTAAGCACTGGTACTCTTGAAAATATTTAAAATTAAATTTACATATAACCTTTGCACACTAAATACTATTGAATATATAAATATTTATTTGCAATATTCAAATTCTTCGGCAATATTGTATAAAAAAAAATAATTTCTTATATAAAATTACATTAAATCACACGAAATTTTGTTCAAACACTTGTAATAAAACAAAAGTTATAATAAAATAATTTGACTTAAAATAATTTAAACCATTTAAATTTTAATGTTTAAATTTTCTTTTTTAATTTTAGAGAAATCATTACTAATATTTTTATTCCATTCATAGATTAGACGAGTTAATTTAAAAAATGTCCAATAGCGAGCCGATTAATATTGAAAAGCCCAGATGGGATCAAAGTACTTATGCGGGCAGAGCTCGACATTTTTTAACGCTCACGAATCCATTAAACGCATTTGCATCAAATGAGAAACTGGAAAGAGCATCGCAAATTGTAACCAAATACAGGTATGTAATATTTTCTAATATTATTCGAACACGAGAGATTTTTCATTTACAAGCTTAATAATATTTTTTCATAACAATGTAATATCAACTATATATTATATTTTCATCTATGCATTAAGCTTGCACATTAAAATTTATTCAATATTATAAATAGTTAAATAATATAGCATGTAATTTATAGATTCTATTAAATAAATAATTACATGTGAAATAATATATTAACCATATGATCAATATCACAATTTTCAATTTACTTTATTTCTCGTGCATTAAATTAATATTAATATTTTACACATTAAAATTAATTAATATCGGGATAAAATATAATGTTAATTATTTAAACAAAATTGGTTCAATATTAAATCAAGTTTACTTCATCGTTTAATTAATATTTATATTTAATATACATTTCATAATAATTATTAATGCTCATACGGGTCAATAATAATGCTAGAACATCATTTTATTGTAAATAATGAATTTAGTCTTGAATTGTGTTAGTTATCATTGACTACATTCATATAAATGTCAGTAAACTGCTTATAATACATTATTTATTACAATAATTTTAATAAACTATACAGCTTCAATTATGAATGTAATTTATTCAAATTAATTTATCTATTATCGATATCATACATAACTATCATCGTAGCAATACTAATAATTTATTATAATTATTCATGCAATTGATTAGCAAAAAATGTACTTATCTCATATACGGAGTTTTGACCATAATGTACTCAACTGAATTATCTGTGTCTTGATTTATAAATTATAAAACTATGATTTATATTTTCCAAACAAATAATATTTTAAGTTTTTTTTTTTAGTCTATTGCAAAAATCTAAATATTTAAGGATACATATTTTTCTGCTTATAAAATTACAAATAAACTAAAATAATAAAATTTTAAATTACAATTAAAAATTAATGCAATTTTATATCGTTAGCTTACAACACTTTCATTATCTTATTATACATTATTATTACAATATTAAACTTTATTTACTATTATCAATAATTTATATAAAATGCTATGCCTATTAATATAACATAGTTATTACTGTATTAAACTACAATTTTAAAAAGTTTTTATAATTTATAATTCAGCTATTCCATATAATCAATAATGTTTCACTTTGGCAAAACTTCGTACCTTAATACGTATCAAATCGATACATAATTTGAAAATATTTATTCTTTTGATTTACGAATTAATAAATATATATATAAAAATTACTTAAATAGAAACAGCATCCGGTTCTTTTTTAAATTTGGAAATAATATTAAATAAGTGTTTGATTCGTTTTTTTTTTTTTTTTTTATGACAATTCTATTTTTAATTTTATAAAGTAAATTTTACAAATTGTTTTTTTTTAAAAAAAAAAAAAAAAAAAAAAAAATGCATATATCACTATCAAATATTTCTTTTAGATTTATTACATTAACGATAAAGTATTTTCATTATTTTAGATTTTAAAAATTACATTTTAATACAAAATATGTATATAAAAGTTAATATAAGAGTTGATTAAAAATATTCTTATAAATTTGGTATAATGTCATAATTCAGCTAAAAAGAAAACGATATTTAATATTACTGAATTATAAACCATGAAAATTTACGTAATGATTATATGAGCTTACAGGAAGGGTACATCGTTAAAGGAATTAAACATAAACGAAGACCAACTATGGAAGAGCAAATACTTATACGACAGTGCGTATCATCCGGATACAGGCGAAAAGATGACCCTCATTGGTCGTATGAGTGCACAAGTTCCTATGAATATGATCATTACTGGTTGTATGCTGACTTTCTATCAGTACGGTGATATTTTCATTTAATTTATGGAATTGTACTTTTAATTTTGTTAATCAACATATGCTATGTTAATTTATTATTGTTATTCTTATTGTTATTGTTATTGTAACTTTAACATACTTTTTAAAGCATGTTGTTTATATCTTAAAAGTTTCCGTTGTTAAATTTACACACGATATTTTTGAAAAATCTACTTTCTGCTTGTCTATTTTTAATCATTTTTGTATATGTAATGAATAACATACTAACCAATAACTAAAATGTGAAGGCTTCTTTTATCAGAATTTATTTATTGAATACTTATTAAATATATAAACTCATTAAATATAAAGTATTGTTTGCCTATTTATATAACTTCATTAATATAAATTAGAAAGAAATACTTCGGATACAATATTCAAATTATTTAAAATTGAATTTATATTGTAACTATGGCGCGTCTCAATTATTTTATCAGTATTTTTATTTTATCAGTAAAAATGTTTGCTTATAAGATAAAAACAAAATCTTGATTTCTGTTTATAGTAAGAGTTCAAAAAATTTAATTGAAAAGTTTAGCTATTAAAATATCTATTTTCTTCATCACATCAGTTTTATTATCTAAATTTTTTATAATTTTAATAATTATTTTTATTATTAGATTATTAGACAAGATCGCATTATTATATATTACTATATGATAATTAATATATAATATTATACATTAACATTAAATACATATTAATTTTTACATTCCTAGCATAATCTTTTTAAGTGATAAATACATCAAATAAAAAAATTAATAAAAATTAGGTATAGAGCGAAAAATGGAAGAAAAAATGCCTGTTTTTTTCAGACCTATAAAGTCACAACATAATTAAATTATAAGATAAATTAGGTTTCTTAAAATTATTGAATAATTGCACTCTTTCATATATGGCCATAATAATAGAAGTATATAATTTGTTTAAACTTTTTTTTTTCTTCATAATTGGATAAATCGTTATAATTAATTCAATACTTTTATATAGAAAAACACCGATTCCCATTCGGAAATCCAGTAACCTACTTAGTATGTTACAGAATTTTCTTCTACGTGCTTAAAAATTATAATAATTTGTTTAAAAAAATCTAAGTTGACTGTCTGCGTCACCTGCAGATCAACCCCAGCGGTAATATTCTGGCAGTGGTTCAACCAGTCGTTTAATGCCGTGGTAAATTATACGAATCGTAGCGGCTCTACACCCATTCCAATGGAAACATTGGCCACGAGTTATGTGGGAGCGACGACAGGTGCAGTTATTACTGCTCTGAGCCTCAATAAGCTGGCTAAACGTGGCCCACCCCTAGCGGGTAGATTAGTGCCATTAGCAGCCGTAGCTGCTGCTAACTGCGTCAATATACCAATGATGCGCTACACGGAATTAAGGGATGGCCTCGAGTTGCAAGATGATAAGGGTGAGAAACAGGGAAGCAGTAAAAAAGCTGCAAGACAGGCAATTTCATCGGTCGCGATATCAAGGATATTAATGGCATCGCCTAGCATGAGTGAGTATACATTAACTACGATATAATAAAGGCTTTTATTACGGATAATTAAAGTATGGTTGATTGCTTAAAAAGAAATTATTGAAAATTTGGTCACTTTCTTACTGATACCACTTCATTAACATTCATTGTCGTCTACGATGTATTTATCAAGCATTTAATGAAAGTGCTTGAAAATTAAGTAAAAATAGTGTTTATTTATATGATATCTGCTTGATAAAAATAACAAACTATCCGTACAAAATATATTTTCTTAATTAGTAGCTTAATATATATGTAATTTAAAAATATCTATTAAAAAAAATAAAAAGATAATTGATAATTTTATAATTGTAATTAATTTGCATATTACTAAAATGAAGTTATTCAAAATTATTATTATTTCAATGTTTAGCGTTAGTAAAACTTATTCCACTAGCATAAGTTCTATTCGTATATATTGAATTTTATTCAAAAAGAATTTTATTGTTATATAAGCAAGTTAAGTAACCATGATCAATTAAAAATATATTCGCAAACTTTAGTTTGTTGATATTTGTACAAAAAATTGGTCGGGCACGCGGCAGTCAAGGTTAGCCATCAGCAGAGACTCAGCATTCAAAAATATTAAAGTTTACTTAAACATTTTAATCTATTGATTTATATAAGTGATCATTTTATTCTTTTTTTCATTGTTTATTGCATTTCGAATAATATACATTGAGAAATATATAAATATTAACATACGATAACAAATTTTTTTTAGAAAACATAGATTTATAATGTATAATACTGTAAATAACATAATAGAAGAATTTATAAATGATAAAAAAATGTTTTTTTATTACTAATTTTAGTACAAATTGCTTTTTTTTTAGAAATGTACTTAAGATTGATCGAATTATATAAGTATTTAATGCAATAACAGACGAAATTTTACATTAACATACCATAGTATAGCATATAAAATATTACTATAATATTATCAATTACGATTACAAAACCAATAACAATTTTAATATTTTTAAAAATATTTAAATAGATATTTTAGGCGATTGTATTTTTTAAAAAACATTAAAATTTTCTTCATTATATAATCTTGTAAGTGCGTTCTAGATTCGCACTTTTAAATAAATTATCCCATTTAGAAGTAAATGCTTTAATTAAAAAAAATTATAAATAGAATAATTGGAACAATAGTGTATAACTATATTATTTAATATGCTTTAGCAGGAGAATTTTCACAGTTTTATAATATAACGAGAAATCGATGTATAGAAACACAATATCGCCAATCAGTGCAATGCTAATCTTATTATTATATGCTATATCAAGAAATTAATATTAATACGGAAAGTAATTGTTCTGAAATGATGATGATGTATTTATATAGAACCTCTTAATTAATACTTTAATTATTTATATGAAGAAATAGGTTTTATCCTATTGTATTTAACTACATTTATAATGCATATTATAAGTAATAATAATTTTTTTGTGAACTATATGATTCTACTATTTTCATATTTTTATACTACAAAAATAAGAAAAATACAAGAAACGGGTAATTAATGTTGTTATGAATTAACAATATATAACTAATATTATTTAATTGAAGAAAAAAAAACTTGTGAACAATTAACGATTAATGAACAGTTAATGATAAATTTAATAATTTTTAGCATATTTAGATATTTTAATTGTATCTAGGCTATTTGAGCAGTTAGAAACGTGATGATATAAGATATTGTAGATATAGATTATAGGTATAGATAAATTTTAAATTTAAAGAATCTATTTTCAGATCGCTGTCTACTATTATATATTTCATGTTATATTCCGTGTAAATCTTAAGATTAGTTTTATTGTCGAGAATATACTAATTATTTTAAAATTTCATATAAAAATAGATTTCCATAATATGTTAATATATTAAAGCTAATAACATTTGTATGCTTTTAATTTCAAATATTAAATTCATTATTAAATCGTTATGCTTGTAATTTGAAGAGAAATTACTAAATTAATGTTTGTTAAAAAAATTTATACCCTTACATCTAAATATTTTTCTTAATTCATGAAAAATGATATAATAAATACTTAAATAAATATTAAAAATACTGTTTATAATATTAACCGAAATGTTAAATAACTGCTTAATTAATAAATTATATATCTTATTTATAAAAATAATATAAAAACTTTCCACGCATTCAATATCCTTTCTTTTATTACAACTTATGAATTGTCAATATGATATTACGATAACACATTGCACTATCAATGATTATAACTACCATTCTTTTAATAACATAATATGTATATCTCTTCAAATTAATTCAAATAATCAATTGATTATAAATTGGTTAGCATAAATGAATCTGAAATACTCATTAATTATGTGTACTTACTTGCTTGTCCGCAGTTTTGGCACCAGTGCTCATGAACATTTTAGAGCGTCGAAAGACACTAGTTCACGCTACCTGGGCAGCAGGTCCTATTCAGATGGCCCTATGTGGCGTCTGTTTAACGTTCGCTACGCCACTTTGTTGTGCCCTGTTCGCTCAGAGGGTTCCGATGCCTGTCGATGAACTTGAAGAGGATGTGCGCGAGAAAGTACTAGCCAAAAATTCGAATATTAAGACGGTTTATTATAACAAGGGCCTGTGAATATAATGAGCATAATGTATCTCTGAATCATTGAACCAAGATATCGCACTTCCTAAGTGAACCAACTCGAATATGTAGACTTCGGATCTATTGAAGTACTTGAGCTACTTATTCGATCAATTAATATACCAAAAAATATATGGTATACTTGTTTCAACAGTTTTAGAGACTGTATAGTCAGATAGAAAATAAATAAAGACTTAAGTATCGAGCTGAGTTATTGTTACATAGCATCAGTTTCAAATATCAATGTAATTAAATAAAAGCTTTGTGGGAACTTGGAAGATAAATTATTAATTATCTCGTTTTCCTATTTCCACATTATTATGAATTTTATTTCCTTGTTATGGGAATTCAATGAATTAAAAATATACAAAGGAAAATACTTTAGACTCGCTACTTTAAAAAACGAAAAATGTAACTAAACTTAGAAATTAATTATTACTGTATCTTAATACAAACTTTATTATTTTGTAAATAAGAATTAGTATTTATAAATAAGACCTGTTTAATTAATTAATAAAAGTAATATTTTTTCCAAAAAATATTATATATACTAAATTGTTCAGAATTATATCCAATTAAACGAATGGAAAGAAATGCTATTTATTTTTGTTAATATTTTAATAATTTTAACATAAATTTTGTACATAATACATACATTATTAATATTTATTGTTAATCAACACATCAAATTTAAATACATAGAATATTTTCCAACTTTAACATGAGTAAATACGTTTTTCCTGTAATATTTAATTGGATAAATGAAAGGATAAATTTTATTTTTATGAAATGTGATAATCCTTTAAGATAGTTTAATTTATGCCAATAAATTTATATGAATGTAAATACTTATAGCAATTTTCTTACATGATTGTTTTAATATTTATATTCAATTTATTATAATTTTTACTCAAAGTTTATAGTTACTAATTGAAATATTGACATTTATAAAAAATAATTTTATTAATAATACATTATATTTCAAAATTTTAACTAATATGCAAACATTTTATTCCGTATATATAGATAAAATCAATTAAAAATATAAAATTTTTTAACTATATTTCAATTTGAATTTTGCAAAAAATAATAGAAACTGTAATATTGATGAATTAAACGAAAGAATTTCAAATGAATTATGGAATATACCATTTATAATTCTATAAACATTATATAAAATACAATTTTTTAATTACTAAAATTCATTTTTCTATTCTGCATAATAAATAATGTTAAATATTTGCATGTTTCATTCTAACGATAAATATTTTAAAATTTTTATTTTTATTTATTTATTTATTTTTTTTTTTTTTTTTTTTAATTTATATTGTAATAGTTTATAAAATATTTAAACACAAATAAAAAATAATATAAATATAATAATATAATAAATATATAAATATAAGATAATTTATAAATAAAATACAATAATAAATTACGAAATTTATTACATTAATATAATATAGAAAATCTAGTAACAACACAAAAAGAAAATATTTTTTATATTTTTGAAATATATTTCATATTGTATTACTCAAAATTTTCTTGAAAAAGAATAATTCATTTAACATACATATTATTCGCAAAGTAAATCTTATAAACCATTCAGAGATAACTGTATAGTATCGTCCGATTTTGGTAAATAAGGATCGAAACGTCTAATAGGTGGTGTTGGTCTAATTTTACGCCCATGCCTTCCATCTTTCCGATGCCATAATCCACTTCTTGGTCTATTACCTAATTCACGATTTTTTTGAGCACTACCAACAGGAATATTATGATGTTCTTCGTTGGATACTCGACCTACCACTGCCATGCAATGTTGATCTAAATTAAATTCTCTCTTACTAGGTACTTTCACTATCACTCTATCATTTATTTTGCTAGTAATAGTACCAAAAGTGCCAGCTGCGTGAATTAAAAATCCACCAATTCCAACAAATTTTTCAATACAATGAACTATTGTTCCTATAGGAAGAGCCCCAAGAGGATATGCATCTCCTTCAGAAGCAACAACCGGTATTCTAGGTATTCCTTTATGTGTTTTTAGAATATCTCCTTTTTTCATATTGACAGTAGCCAGTATATATTTTAATTCTGAACCAGATCCAACTAAAGCTACATAACTAGTTCTACAACCATCTTTAAATACTTTTAAAACTTCTTCTTCTTTTGGTTTTTCATTCAAATCAGTTGGTCCATCTCTATGCCAATTGATCCAATGATATTTATGTTTTATTCCACCACCAATTCCTTTGCATACAACTCTACCTGTATATACAAGAAAATTAATCTTCTTAAATTTTATTTAAACAATACATATAAACAGAATTATAAAAATAGATGTAGCAGGATCTTTATTTATAAAATTTTTTAAAATATTTATAATTAAATAACGTTAAATATCTGTATAGTTATTTGAATGAGTTTATAATTATTTAATATTTTTATTTCGTAAGCTAAATAAACTTAAATCAATTAATATAAAATATACAATAAATAAATGATTTACCACTCATATTTATAATTTCTAATTGAGATTTTGGATTCTGGAATATAAATGTCCTACCTTACCGACAAAAACCAAATTGAATCTTTAAACACTTTGAAAATTATTAAAAAAGTAACATAAAAAATTCTTGCAGGATAAAATTATTTTTTTTAATAAAGAAAATTAAAATACTTTAAAAAGTAATTGCTTAGTAGAATTATTACCTGTTACTGGATCCCTTCCGGCAAGGTTCGTAACCTCTAAAGGTTCAACGGTATATTCATCTTTAAAGTGAACAATTCTCCGGTAACTTTTACCCTTAACGCCAGGTTTTGGTACATTAACTGGTTTCCAATAATTGCGAATTTGTTGGCTTTGATAGGAAATATCAGCATTTAATCGTATTATATTTAAGATTTGTTGTTTAAATTGACGACAAAAAGGTAACATTTTGCATTTGGATTTTCTACTGAATGTGAAAATATAAACACTTCCTCAATCGTCAAACATTACTACTATTTTCACCAATCAGAGATCGAAGTTAATTTTCAACTGTTCATATAGTTCTGCAAGTTATGATCTGCTGGTAAAACAGAAAGAATTATTTCAACCCGGGTAAATTTGAAAAAATTAGAAATTTTAATTATTTTATGAATGAATTGTAGTTTAACATTAGTATAAAATATACATTTATATATATATATATATATATATATATATATATATGTACGCGCGCGCGCGCGTGTGTGCGTGTGTGTGTTCATATAATATTTTTACTTGTTCTGTAAATAATAATATTTTAAAAAATAACCATATTTTTAATTATTAATATAATTAATTAATTTGAATTTACAAGACGCTTGTAATCAATACAAAATTTCTTATCTTATTATGCAATAATAAAGATATAATTTTCATTGGATATCTTTTAACATTAATTATAATCAAATTATATATTTTGTTGTTATTAACACCATTATTTTTTTATTCTAAAAATATAATTGTGATTATTTAATATTGCTTATAATATAATTCTTATTGTCTTTTAATTATACAAGTTACTATTGTTAGAATTAATTACACAAATATTTTTACTATTTGTATTAATACTTCCGTTACTTAAGATTAATTATCAATTATATTATTTTATTATGTTATTGTCACATGCGTTAGATCATGTTACGTAATAATATTATATAACATATAATATAATCATTATATAGCATCCTATTGTTAAATAAAATACATAAATAAGACAAGATTTTAATGCAAATATAAATTCATATACTTTAGTATGTGAATGGAAACCTAGTTAAAAACATTCAGTAGACAATATAAAAATATTTTTTTAATTATATGAATTGTTGCAAGTTTTTTTCATAATTAATTCAAGTTAGGACTAAGAAATAAATATATAAAAGATAAGATCTATTATCATGCAAATTTACTCTGAACATCGATTAAAAATGTATATTAAAGATAAATGAAAAGTAGAATAATAAGTATGTATAATAGTAAGTAGAATAAAGTGTGAACTTAAAAACCAAAAGACGAAAAAAATAATAAAAGGATAAGAAAAAAGGGTGAGTAGGAATTATGGGGGATGATGATTGTGCGAGGTAAGGTACATAAGGTGGATAAGATGGCGGACAATTTGCCGCTCGACTACTCTTGCTTACGTGCTTCACACACGCATGAGTATACTCACTTCTTACACGCACACAACTGCGCTTCCATTTTCTCTTCCTCCTGTCACTTCCATTCTTCTTTCTTTACCTCTCTTCGAATAATAGATGCTCCTTTTCCGCATAATATGGAAGATCTGTGATCATAGGAACACATACTCAAACAGTATTTCAACCCATTTGCACATACCGAATTTTGTAAATTGTTCGATTCATATTAATGAATCTGTTTGAATTTCTACATCGAATTTATTATCGATTCAAAGTCTAATGGTAAAATGCAAGAAAACAATGAAACTCCAAACTAAATGGTATGGCTAATTCGTATTAAACAAATATTTACCTACCTAACTAATCAAATAAAAATATAATATATATGACTTTTCAAGATTTTAAAAAACAATTCAATTGAAAAAAATTTTTATTTTAATTCATCTACGAAGTAACAATATTATTTCATTGAAAAATTTATGTTTATTAAACTAAAATCTTATATTTAATAAATACAATTGTAATAGAGTAAATAATTAATTTATTAATAATAATCAATAATGATGTAATGCTAATTTTTTTAAAAATTTTAGAAACAATATTGTTATAGCATCATTATATGACATAAAATAAATAGATTTTAATAAATGATAAATATTTAATGTAGATTTAACAAAAATAAGACCACAGATAATATATTAAACGATGAAAAGTCAATTTCGACTCTACATACATACATTTTAAAATATCCAATAATATTGTGTAACAACTAGAAGTATATCATATAGAAACATGACATAAACAAGTATATGAGATACAGCAAATATCTGTATAATGTTATTAACAAATAGATTTCTCTATAGTCTAAATATGAAAGCCATTTTAATATTCGAAGGATACACGAAAGTATGTAAAGAAAAATCTTATAAACGTGTACGTATTAGAATAACTATAATGTTTCAATTTTTCATCATTTTTAAATTAAAATGAGAATATCGTACACCGGTCAAATTAACTAAAAAATTTTCAAAATCTTCGATCGACGATGATCACAAGAAGGAAAGACGGAAATTACAATTGAAATATTATTATTATTTGTATCAAGCTCAAAGTCAATGTAAATCGATTATCGAAATCAATTAGCGAGGATCTGTTATAATTAATGGTATTTGTAATAAACTGAATATTATCCACACTATAATAAAATAGAATATACTTTCAAACAATGATCCGGAATGACTTTCCCTATTCTTTATATAATCTATATAAACATAATAATAAACCTAATACATTTAATATTTTATGTAAGAATTAAATATTATAACTATACATGTCTGTATTTGTGTATGCGTGTACTTATGCGAGTAAAATATAATTAATATCTTTGACTATTAGTAAACACACTTATTGAATATTATTAAATTTATATGTATAACATTTAAAATTTTATTATTAATATAAATATTTTGTAATATTTACTTTCGTATATAAAGGAATATTTTTATATAAGCTATGCATAAAATTTATTACCACAAGATGAATTTAAACATTATTTATAGATTATATAATTCTATAAAACTTCGTATAATATCATTCACAATTAATTACAGTAAAATTAGTCTTTTGTACAATATAATTTATAGTGCAATTAAAATAATTTCAAAAAGCAACAAAATGAAAAGTTATATTATAAATTATATTATATTATATTATAAAATGATATTATTATATAAAAATTATATTATAAAATGTAAATTGTCTATAATGATAAAATAATAATATAGACTTTCAATACTTATAGTAATTTATAAAGTTCACAAATTATAATTACATAAAGAGGGAAATAGTTTGATGCAATTATCAAGTGCAAGTTTTTTTTTACATTTTTTAATAATTGTAATATAATCTATAGGACTTTCAAATATTTTATGAAATCACGAAAACTCTTAACAGATTATTATGAAATAAAGTGCTGAAATAAAAAAGGCATAAGATTAATATTCACTTTTAATATTTTTTATTTTGAACGTCTATATTTTATCTTTTTTTTATATATTCCGGCTTCAATATTTAATGATCTAATAATAACATTACCACTTAGCCACTCAAACAATATAAAATAACAAATATACAAGCTATTGTTTTTATATTTAATTATATATACAAGTGTTATTTTACCTTATATTCTACATTATATGCGGATATATAAGTATATAACGCGTATATGTTTAAATAAAAGAATAATATTTTGTATATTTTTTATTCAAATGTAATAGGTTAATTATTTATTATTGTTCATTCCATATATATATATATATATATATATATATATACATATAAAATCATTTAGAAAAATAAACTAAATTTAAACTAAATAATGAATTTGTATGGATTCTCTTTGAACTCTTACTACAAAACCAATCATAAATATTAATTATAACTGGAATATTGTATAAAATATTTAAATAGAGTTGGATTATTGGAAAAGCATAAAAAGACGATTTGTAAGAAATAACGTTTATATTGGTGAATACATTATATTAAAAATTCCTGTATTGTATTCCTATATCTAAACTATTTTATAATAAAGTGATTATATACAATCAACTATCTTTCCTTTTATCAACTAAATACTTTATAAAATTAAGTTTTTTTTTTAATTGCACTTGAAATTAATAAATGAAGTATTAATTTTAATTTTAATTTTAATTAATAAATTTTTACAACGAAAGATAAATTAAATATAAGGTTAACCAATTATATGTCTTATACATAGATATTTTTAATCGACCTTAATGTAATATTTGGAGTCCTACACTACTTTTTATTCTCTCTTCTTCTCTCCCTGTAGTTATTATTATCATACAATCAAGTGTAATTATCATACTCCATGATGATTTCACAATTTTTTCTAGTGGCATACATAGAAACCTTATGACAGCCAGTTTTTTTTTCTTTCTTAAAGGTTTCTGTCGCTTGAATTCCTATTAAGTATTCCATCCACCATCTTCACACTTAATGAAATAATTACCCAAAACCAATTAAGTAACTCCCTACTGTCTTAGACTCTTAATAATAAAGCTTTATATTTGAAAAGAAAAGAAAGAGGAAAAAGTAACGAAAAGTAAAAAAATACAAAACTTAAGAAGAAAATGTGATTTAAAATCAATTAACTAAACGTCTTTTTACGTGCTAATTAGTTTGCTTCTTTTTTTTTTTTTTTTAAACAACAATATGAAATTTTACATTACACTTTTTATAAGATTTATGTACAGTTTTATGTAAATACTCTTTATTTTATCAGACTTTAAACTTTATACAAATATACAGTTAAAATTTAAGTATATAATCATATTATTAATAATAATTTCTCACTAACGAATATTAATAGTGTTTGATCAAATATATTTAAAACGTTATATTTTCATAATTTAAAAATATAAAATAAAATTATGAATTAAATTACTGAGTACTAATTCCAATTAAATTAAATATTATAAATTAAAAAATTAACACTGTACGTTCAAAGGATAATTATTTTTTGCATATAATATTTGAAAAGTACATACCCAAAAAGTGCAAACTTCCGGATAGATTTAAGGTCGATTAAATTTGATCGGTTACATTCCCTAAAAATAAAAGAGGTATTAACATCCACATACGCACCGATACATTCTGACAAAATATCTAGAACTTAACTCCATTTTAATGTCAGGAATCTACGAATAAATTCGGTAACGTTGTCGACGTCGTTCATTCTTCCACATGAGAAAAAAGTATAATATATCTATGGTCGATAAAACACTTTTTAAGCCCCTCCCAACATAACCAAAAA